TTTTTTTTTTTGAGACCAAGTCTCATTATGTCACTCTTGATAGAGTGCTGTGGTGTCAACAGCTCACAGCAACCTCAAACTCTTGGGCTCAAGCAATTCTCTTGCCTCATCCTCCCAAGTAGCTGGGACTATAGGTGCCCACCACAATGCCCAGCTATTTTTTTGTTGGAGTTGTTTAGCAGGCTCGGGTCAGGTTTGAACCCACCACCCTCCATGTATGTGGCTGGTGCCATAACCACTGTGCTACGGACGCCAAGCATTCATTTTTATTTTTAATTAAAACATTTTAAGAAACGAGGTTTTTGCTATATTGCCCAGTTTTAGTTTTCATTTTGCATTAATGATTTTAGTCATCTAGCCCCGTGTGATTTGTAGTTTTAACAAACTTCTGTATCCTGTTCTAAGTTTGGGGCTTGGCTTAGAAGGGAATGAGAATATGTAGTTGTAGTTGGGTCTTAAGATTTTATGTTTAGGCTCGGTGCCTGTGGTTCAAGTGACTAAGGCGCCAGCCACATACACCTAAGGTGGCGGGTTCAAATCCAGCCCAGGCCTGGCAAACAACAATGATGACTGCAACCAAAAAAATAGCTGGGCATTGTGGCAGGTACCTGTGGTCCCAGCTACTTGGGAGGCTGAGGCAGGAGACTCACTCGAGCCCAGGAGTTGGAAGTTAGTGTGAGCTGTGATGCCATGGCACTCTACCCAGGGGGACAGCTTGAGGCTCTATCTCAAAAAAAAAAAAAAAAAAAAAAAAGATTTTATGTTTAGCAATGGATTCAATGTCTGTTTTATATGTAGTCCTATGTTTATTTCTTGTAATGACGTGTTTAGAGGTATAATTTTTCAGATATCAGAAACAACATATAATTGTTTTTTTTGCACCTTTCTCATACTAAACCAAGTTTAGTATTAATATAAGATTTTTTATTTTAATCATGTTGGTATCAGTAAAGAAGCTAGACTTATTAACTACTTATTTACTCTGGGTCCATTAAGGTCTGTCTACGTTGCATTATTGGTAGGGCATGATCTCATCTTTTATTCATTTATTTTTATCTGATATATGAAGAACTTTTTGATCGTCTTTAAATCAGTTTTGTTGTATTGAACTTTGTAGACTGATCTCAAATCACAATCAAGGCCGAGTAGGCCTTCCCAAAGGAAGTAGTATGATTGAGGAAACTGGAATTTAGAGGATCTGGCTTCTTTTTTTTTGAGACAGAGCCTCAAGCTGTCCCCCTGGGTAGAGTGCCGTGGCATCACACTCACAGCAACCTCCAACTCCTGGGCTCAAGCGAGTCTCCTGCCTCCGCCTCCCAAGTAGCTAGGACCACAGGCGCCCACCACAACGCCCGGCTATTTTTTGGTTGCAGCCGTCATTGTTGTTTGGCGGGTCCGGGCTGGGGATTTGAACCCGCCACCTTAGGTGTACGTGGCTGGCGCCTTAGCCAGTTGAGCTATAGGCACCGAGCCGAGGATCTGGCTTCTAAACTTACATTGGGTAGATAGAAACACTACCGTTAGGTTCATAATTTAACTTCTTTAAGTTTAAGGTCAATTTTTATCCATATGTAGAATCCCATTAATCTTGAGAGAAAATCAGAATGGTGAAGGATTATTCTGGGTAAAAGAAAGATTAAGATTACTTAAATTATGATGAGAGTTTGAGAAGAACTCTGATAATCCCAAAAGGGTAAGAATTTCTTAGGTTTTGTAATAGTTAAGTTTTTCCCACAGTTTATTTTCTCTTTCTTCTCTTTGCCTCTCAAGGTTCTTAAAGATATGTGTCCATCTATTCTGTCACTGGCTCAGAGCTTGTTTCACTCCTTCGACCAGAACATAATTTCCTTTGGCAGTCTTCTATACAAATACTCATTTAAGTTTTTTGACACTTACTGCCAGCAGGTATGTTGAAATATTTATTTTGGCAAGGCGAGAACAAGGAAAGAGAAAATGACTTGGTGTTTATTTCTTATTGTTTAGAAGGCATTGGAGGGGAACGAACTCTGAAGTAGGGTTTGGGAAAGTTCAGTTCTAGCTAGTCCCATCCTTGGTAAAATGAAGAGACTAGACTGGAGAATCAAACTCTTGTGTTCTGAACTCAGAAGTCTCCAAGTCTAAAAGTAAGGTCTAGATCCAGTCTACATCAAATAAACCTGGGCTTTAAAAGGCTGGGCTTGTTAGGTAGTTTCTACAGTACAGAAATGTCAATTAAATTTAGCCATAGATAATTTTCTGTTCATCCTGGAATTTGCTCTCTGAAAAAAAACTATGGTGAAAAAATGAATTAAAAAGTGCTTGGTGGCTTAACCCTGTTCTCATGAACATGAGACAAAATTTGATAGCACCTATCTATAGAGTGAGAGCAATGGAAAGTGTTTATGAAAGCAAGTAAGGAACAAAATGTCTTATTTTATATTTTTGAACATACTAAACCTATTAACATATATATATTTTTTGAGACAGAGTCTTACTATATCGCCCTCAGTAGAGTGCTGTAGCATCATAGCTCACAGCAACCTTTAACTCTTGGGGTTAAGTGATTTTCTTGTCTCAGCCTCCCAAGTAGCTGGGACTACAGGTGCTTGCTACAATGCCTGGCTATTTTTTGTTGTAGTTCTCATTGTTGTTTAGTAGGCCTGAGCAGGGTTTGAACCTGCCTCAGTATATGTGGCTGATACTGTAACCACTGAACTATGGCGCCAAACCCCTATTAACATTTTTAAAATACAGTTGAGTGGAAATTTTACAAAGATTTGAAAAAATATATATAAAGCAGAGCAGTAGATTCAGTTAACATGAGCTACCTGATGCAATTAAGGATATAATTCTGTTATGACTCTCATATGTAGAGAAGGGCATCTAAAACATTTTTAAGCCTTTTAAATATCTTAGAGCCACTATCACAATTCAATGTTTGCTTAGAAACATGCAAGTTTAACCTGCGCTGTATAGAGCATCGGTTCTCAACCTTACTAATACGGCAGCTCTTTAATATAGTTCCTGTGGGTCGTGACCCACAGGTTGAGAACTGCTGGGATAGAGAAGTCCTTTAAGATCTTAAGGTCTTTTAAGCTCCTTTTGTGCTATCTTTTTGAGAAATTTTAACAGATCAAGTACAATTACAACTTAAAGGGTAAAATTCAACTCATATATGAGAAAAAGAAAACAACTATAATTATGCTAAGGGGCAAAATCAGGAGGGCTTATATATGCTCACTATGGGAAATAGATTAAAACTGGATGATATTGTGGTTATGCTGGTATAATCCTAAGCTTCCTGCAGCCAACATTAGTAAAAGCTAGTCAGTAAATGGTGGAATAAAGTAAGTTATGATTTTAACAAAGTAGAAATTAAAAAGGCATCAGGCATAAATACCTTTTATGGCCATACTATATTTTTGCTTCACACTATCCCATTGACTGTCTCTGGCTTAGGAAGTTGTTGGTGCCCTAGTGACCCATGTCTGCAGTGGGAATGAAGCCGAAGTTGATACTGCATTGGATGCCCTTCTGGAATTGGTTGTATTAAATCCATCTGCTATGAAGCTGAATGCTGTCTTTGTGAAGGTATCTACTGACTCTTTTGTTAGCATGTATCTGAGAGTTATCTGATTACTGTTTGTACTCTTTAGATACTCTTTTAAATACTGTGCACTATGATTGGGGGAGCGGTAAGGAGGTGAGATGGTTGGGTGAGTAATATGAAAAAAGACCATCTATCTGTGTATTAATTTAGCAAATATTTCTTTATACCTAATTGTGTGCCAAATTCTATTTTTCTTTTTTTTTGAGACAGAGTCTCACTTTGTAGCCATCAGTAGGTGCTGTGGTATCATAGCTCACAGCAATCTCAAACTCATGGGCTTAAGTGATTCTCTTGCCTTAGCTTCCCAAGTAGCTGGGACTACAGGCACCCGCCACAACACCCAGCTACCAAGTCCTATTCTGAGTGCTGTGGTTATAAAGGTTGGTCCTTGCCTTTTGTGAGATAGACTAACACAGATAAGCAAGTCATTATAAATAAAACATGATGAATTCTCTCATAAAGATAAAGTGCTGGGTAGTGCATGTGTCTCAGTGGGTAGGGCATCGGACCCAACCAGAGGGTGGCAGGTTCGAATCTGGCCGGGCCAAACTGCAATGAAAAAATAGCCGGGCGTTTTGGCAGGCACCGGAAGTCCCAGCTACTCAGGAGGCTGAGGCAAGAAATGACTTAAGCCCAGGAGTTGGAGGTTGCTGGGAGCTGTGACGCCAGGGCACTCTACCAAGAGCTGTAAAGTGAAACTGTATCTCTAAAAAAATAGAAAGAAAGAAAAGATAAAGTGCTGTTGATACAGTTGGGAAGCTAGAGAATTCTTCAAAAAGGAAATAAGATTTTAGTGCTTCTTGAAGGCTAGGAATGAATGATTGATGAAGGAAAATAATGGAAGTGCTTTCAAGGCAGAGGAAAGTATGAAGAGAAGCAAACTTATACCTAAGTCCATGGTATGTCTGAGATACGTGTTTCCTCAAAAATAAGACCTACCCAAAAAATAAGCCCTAGGAGGATTTCTATGCATTTGTTAAATATAAGCCCTACCCTGATAATAAGACCTAGTGATGGGTGTGGCTATGCAGATGCATTTCAGTGCAGAGCGGTAAGGAAGACTGGAATACCATTTATCTGCCACAGCTCATTTTTCTGAGCTGTTCTCACTTGCACGGGTACACCACTTGCATGGGTACACGTCTGGTAACCACGGTCGCAGGCATCCTATTGCACACATGCGAACGGCTACGGGAAAGGAGTTCATGCATCACTAGCACTAGCCCCACTAACAAGGTTGGCTCCTCTTGTCGGGTTCCAGAAGAAGATAACTGTATTTGAATAAATGTAGATTGTTGTATTATACTTAATGAAAATAAGACATCCCCTGAAAATAAGCCCTAGTGTGTCTTCTTGAGAAAAAATAAATATAAGACATTGTCTTATTTTCGGGGGAACACGGTATGACAAGCAGACTAGAGTGGCTGGAGAATAGGATATATGGAGAGTAGTGGGAGATGAGCTATAAAACAGGGCTAGGTTGTGAAGGGTCTCCAATACCATGCTAAAGGGTTTCAGCTTTCTTTTATAGGCACTAGGAAGCTACTGTGGGGTTTTTTTGGTTTTTTTTTTTTTTTTGTACAGACAGAGTCTTACTTTATCACCCTCAGTAGAGTGCCGTGGCATCACATAGCTCACAGCAACCTCCAACTCCTGGGCTTAAGCGATTCTCTTCTCTGGAGGCCTCAGCCTCCAGAGTAGCTGGGACTACAGGCACCTGCCACAGCACCTGGCTATTTTTTTGTTGCAGTTTGGTCGGGGCTGGGCCTGGACCCACCACCCTCAGCATATGGGTCTGGCACCCTACCCACTAAGCCACAGGTGCTGCCTTTTTTTTCCTTTTTTTCCCCTTGAGACAGAGCCTCAAACTGTCACCCTGGGTAGAGTGCTATGGCATCACAGCTCACAGCAACCTCCAACTCCTGGGCTGAAATGATTCTCCTGCCTCTGCCTCCCAAGTAGTTGGGACTACAGGGACCTGCCACTACGCCTGGCTGTTTTTTGGTTGTAGCCATCATTGTTGTTTGGTGGGCCAGGCTGGATTCGAACTTGCCAGCTCAGGTGTATATGGCTGGCGCCTTAGCCACTTGAGCCACAGGTGCCAAGCTACTACTGTGGGTTTTAAATTTATTTATTTATTTAGAGACAGAGTCTCACTTTGTCCCCCTCAGTAGAGTGCCGTAGCATCACAGCTCATAATAACCTCCAGCTCTTCGGCTTAGGTGATTCTCTTGCTTCAGCCTCTCAAGTAGCTGGGACCACAGGCACCTGCCACCTGCCACAACGCCTGGCTATTTTTTGTTGCAGTTTGGCCGGGGCCAGGTTTGAACCTGCCACACTGGGTATATGGGACTGGTGCCCCATTCACTGAGCCACAGGCACCTCCCTACTGTGGGTTTTTATAGGAAGCTGACCTAGTCAACTTGGGGCTTTGAAAAATGACTAGGCCTTGTGATGGGTAGATTGGAGACCGCTGAAATAAGCCAGAGACAATTTGGTGTTCAAATTAATAAGACTTAGGCCAGGTGTGGTGGCTCATGCCTGTAATCCTAGCACTCAGGGAGGCCGAGGCAGGTATATTACCTATACTCAGGAGTTCGAGATCAGCCTGAGCTAGAGTGAGACTCCTATCTCTAAAAACAGCCGGGTGTTGTGGCTGGTGCCTATAGACCCAGTTACTCAGGAAGCTAAGGCAAGAGGATTGCTTGAACCCAAGAGTTTGAGATTGCTGTGAGCTATGATGCCAGAGTACTCTATTCCAGGGCAACTGAGTGAGACTCTGTCTCAAAAAAAAAAAAAAAATAGAACTAACGTGACTTGATGACTATTAAGAATATTTAGCAATCAGGAACAGGGAAATTTAGTCCAAGTCTTCTATCTTTGGAGACTGTGAATAATTGTGCCATTTCTTGTGCCCAGGAGACCAGAAAGAAATGCATCTTCTTTTTTTTTTTTTTT